GAAGGGCGCGACATACATGATTATTTCGAGGAATTTGTTTCAATCTGAATCGATCCCTTTCGTGCTGGCGCGCTACAGGACGGCTGATGACGTTTCTCCGTACTGGTACCGGTAGGTTCAATAATTCAATGGAAGCAAGCTCATTTTATTGGCCGCTTCCCTTCCGAGTGAACCGAGGCGCCCGTGGCACACGAGAGAACGAACGAAAACAAAAATGGCCATCTTATTTCGATGGGGCGAAAGATAGCTGATACATCCAGAATTTACTCGGTACATCCCGAATTTACCCTCCCCCCTTCCCCCTGGCTACCCCTCCTCATTCTCTGTTCGTGACCTTTCCATATGTTTGGAGGGGGCACGAGTTGTAGCCCTCTGCGCCACGCTCACAATTAAACACTGCGTTTTGCATTAAACGGCTCCTATCTTCCACAACGAACCGTCATTTTCTTCTGAAATTATCTTACATTTGGCTTCATCAACAAATTTTTTATTAATCGAAAAACAAAAATATCTGTGAATCTGTGTGAGAAACCCTTAGTCACGCCCATGCCATTGAAGGCCCTTCAACCAACTAACTGTCAAGTTGTTGAAGTACAGTAGCTCATGGAGGATCCCCGACGAGATCCTGGATCTGAGTAAAACGCCTCCTTCGATAACGAGTCTGTCCCAATTTGCGATGAACTCGAGTTTGTCGACGCGTCGCGCGCCGTAAGGGTCGGCCCCGGCCTCCGGCCTCGGGCCTCGGCGCTCAAAACCCCTCCCCGCATAGGCCGCCCGCAGCGCATGCGCGTGTGGCGGGCAGGGCTGCCTCCGAGAGGGAGGGCCCTGCGGGCGCTGCGCGGCGCGCTGGACTGGCGACCCGCCCGCGCCGCCCCGGACGCAGCCCCTAGCCCCCCTCAGTCCGCCATGTCTGTGGCGCCGTGACGCAGGCGGAGCAGGCAGCCACACAGGGACGAAGGTGAGTCCGTTACGTTGAGCTAAAATTCCCAGACCGTTTTCCCCCGTTGCCACCGCGTTGTCTTCGGTCGTGCATGCAGCCGAGAGCGAACCGCTTTTGGGCCGCCTTTTCTCCGCTGTCATTCCCCAGCAGCCGCGAGTCGAGGCGGACAGCTGGTGAGTTAGACCCCAGCAGGGCGCCCCCGAGTGGGGTTAGGGGGTGGCTCGCGACGAGGGGAAACTTTGAAAAGTGTGAATGCTCGTGTGTGTGTTCGCGTTGTCTTTGCCACGCGCACTGTAGACCCTTACCCAAGACGCGTTCTCTCCGTCAGAACGACGGGATGGATCGTTTTCAATCGGAAGTAATTTTTGTTACACTTTTTTTTTGTCGTTTTTCGACTTGTGCTATTCGCTTCGGATTGCTTGTGTTGCTTTCGATTACGTGAGCGTCATTCTGTTCGGAGATTTATTTCACTCCACAGTGCCGCGTCAAAAGGACTTATAAAGTGTTTATCCCCGGATGAGGACGGACAAAGATGGCGGCTTCCAGCTGAAGGGGCTGAAGGGCACTGGAGTCAACAGGAGGGGGAGGGGGGAGGCAGGGGGTAGGGGCAGCTGTAGCTTGCCGAGCTGATCTTTATCGCAGGTTACTTGTTCCGCCATAATAATCGTACGTCAGAACTGTCTTTTAGAAGTTATGAATGGCGTTTGTCTTATTTATAAGGTGAGAAAATAGTTGTTGTAATATGGCTGTATCGGTACCCTCGCAGCTCACAATCTGTTCGCCATGGACTCGCTGGCCCTGCTCCTCGTGGCGGTCGTTGGCCTCGCCACCGGCTACATGCCGTCCAAGGTAAGAGTGCCGACGAGCAGCAGCGTGTGGAAGTCAGTTGTTGTCTTGTGGCTCGCGGGCCGAGCTGAGCAACGGACTGTTTCTGCAGCAGGAGGCCATGCTGACGGACGCGCTGCTTCGGGAGATGACGGCCGGGCTGCTGGACCCCAACTACCTGGACCTCACTGAGAACACGTGAGCAGCAGTTGCCTCGTAACTCGTAACAACGTGTTCGTGGCGGACACGACGGTGGAGACTTGAAGCACGATATGAACTTATAGTGGCGTATCTGCTTTTCAGCGGCCCAGTTCTCGCCAGCAGGAACCTCAAGGACCTCGACGCGTTCGACTACGAGCTGGGTGACGACATGAGTCCCCTGAGCCCACACCCCTCTACCCGGGACGGAGAGTACCTTCAGCACTCGCCCTCCCTCTGGGGCCACCAGTACCTCAGCGGTAAACCAGCCCCATTAACACGCTCACGCAAAAAAAAAAAAAAAAAAAATTGCCTCGTTAAAAATTGCACTGAATTTGCAACCGCGGAGTATTGTTAGTGGTGGCGCGCCGCTGAGAATCGCCCTTTCTCTTTTGTGCAGGCGGCGCCGGTGAAGGCAAGCAGCACCTGCGCCCAGACGGCGCCATCAAAAACCAGCACCAGGTCAAGACAGATGCCGCCCTGCCCGCCTATTGCACCCCGCCCAACCCCTGCCCCATCGGGTACACTGGTACGCCCGATTCACAACCACTAATACCGATATGATATGATATATGCGTCTACCGTCGTTATTGCTATGGGTGTGCGGTTTCCAGCGGAGGACGGATGTCTGGAGCAGTTCGAGAACACGGCTGCTTTCTCCAGGGAATTCCAGGCGGCCCAGGAGTGCATGTGTGATACCGAGCACATGTTCAAGTGCCCCAGCAACCAGCACAACCACGCCGACGGCAGGAACGACATATCTGAGGCCGACATCGACCGCTTTGTGCACGAGTTCCAGGTTGGTCCAGTGGACGTGATAATAACCGAGCCCTGAGTTAAACTCTTGTACCGAAGTTGAGTAACTTTAAATTGCTGTATTCTCTCCCAGGATGAAAATGCCCACAAGACCCTGGTGGCTAAAAAGTTCCACGTTAAAAAGGTACGATTTCTGTCCTGCCCATTCGTTCTGAAAAAAAATGCCAGATCTCTGCTCTTCTTAATGTGTTAACTTTGTTTCTTCTAGTCATCCAACCCTTATTTGCAAGGGGAGCGACTTCCGATCGCAGCGAAGAAAGGTTTCAACGTTCAGTAAGAAGAAAATCAAAGACTAGCAAACGATTTGAAGCTGAAACATCAGTAGCTCAGTCTCCTTGTCTGAAGAACACCTTCACGGAGAAAAAACAAAAGCATTTTATATTTAAGTTACATCACGTTTTATCATTTCTTAAGGGGTCAGTTAAAGGGATATTTTTGTAAAATCTCTATCACTGGAGCGTCATATCACATTCGGCTTTTATTTCCTGTTTTTAAAAAGAGTATTACCTGTTAGATACTATTCGTCATATTCAACTATTTTACATTTCTTGTTAGAAGAGGGTCAACTTTTTTTAGGGTGACATGAATGCCAATTAGTGCTTTCTAAAATATTGTCTTCCTTTTGTTCGGTACCGGCATCATGAGAACGTTTCGATTAGCTTCGATAAATGTGCGTCTTATTTCCATTGGGTCCAAAACCGTGGGCCTTTTCTGGATAGAGGTGGAAATTATTATTGACAAATCTCGAGTGAAGGAAAAAAGCCTTCGGTTTATGGGGAAAAGTCGCAAATTATCGAGCCGTGATGTAAGAATTACATACCGGCAACCAAAAAGCGTCATTGTGGCCAATGTCTAGCTGTTAGAACGCTCAAATTGCAACACAATATTTCATAGAAAGCACTTCCTTAGGACTTAAAAAAAACTTTTTTGCTGGGCGCAATGTCGTGATCATGCGTGTAAGGTGGTTTGCGGGTAAGGCGCTTAAATTTTGTTACTATACGACGCACGCAGTCCCCCATATTGTCATCTGCGGTAGCATAAAGAAACGTCATAAACAGACAGGCTACACCGGCTGTGATAGATGGGAATAAAGATATGTCGTTTATGTCGTAGCTGTGCGTTGTTTCTCATCCTTCCTGCTCTTCCTCCTGAGCCAAACCCCCCGTCAATATACTCAACTTTCCGATAAACTCGATTTTTTTCTTAAGAACACTGTTTTTTATTTACGCTGATAAAATCAAACATACGTCGTGCTCAAAAGAAATCGAGTATAGTAAACAAAGTTTTCTGGGTGGTATCCTCCTATACCCACTCAATCGCAATGCACACCATGTCCACACCGCGGTTTGTTGCGAGGCGACGACAATCATGCCGCCGCCCCCTTCCCCCTCACCGCGCGGCTCC